AAGCATTAACACATGTTAGACTGCACCCCTTAAACACAATCAAGCCAAGAAAAAACCCAGTGAACCACCCCTTTAAAAGGGGTTAATCAGTATGTATGAAAGAAGGTGCAAGAAAACGAACAAAGACGAGACGTAAACACACAGACACATTTTTTTGACAGTTGATCAATCGCATTTGCTGAAACTGATTTAATTATAATATATATATATATATATATATACAGTATATATATATTATATATATGTATAATCACAACCTACAAAACTTCTGTGTTGAGTAAGATTCACTGAACGCAAAACTTTTGTGTTCAGTAAGATTTTTTAATGCTCAGCAAGGCTGTATTTATTTGATCAAAATAGTTAATTGAGGTTAATTGGTTTTACCTGTCTGAACACCAAGGAGATGATCGCCAGATAAAGCTGTGGCAGCTTATAGGCTGTTATGAGAGAAAAGAGGGTCATATGTACAGGAAATACACCTCAGTGTGTAAGTTATGTGTAAGTCTGAACCAAACCCAATCAACCGTAGCTTCTCAAATGTTCTACTCACGCTCCACATGAAGGTAGACATCAGCTATGCGGAAGCCTGAAGAGTCCATCACTCGAAAGACACCGTTGTCACCGACTTTGACCTTCTTCAAGTAGAACATGGATCCTTCCACAGACTCTCGACCCTCAAACGCAGAGTCGACAGGTGCCGTCAGCTCCCCCTGGTCCATGATGAGTCGTTCCTTGTAGTCAGTGTCCGTGAAGTAGACCATTTTGACTTTGGTGTAGTCCACGTGAAGCCTGATCTTCAAGGTTTTACCATAATTCAAGTGCACAAAGATCTGGTGGGCTATTATATGGAAGGAGGGGGGAGGGGGGGGAACGATAATTAAAAGGATATACAAGGATACTAAATGTTGCATTATTGCACCTGCAAACTACCAACAGTAATCCTAATAAATTATACTACTTGGCACAATTGACTGATTTTTAATAATAATAATACATAATATAATATTGTTATGTTATTATATAATTAAATAAATAATAATTAATATTATATAAAATTAATATATAATATAAAATATATATTTAGAATTAATAATATTATATTATTATATATAATTAATAATAATATATACCAAATTCCTATGTAGCTTCAAACACCCAAAAGCAATACTAATGAATTATAACACTTGGCAGAATTTTTATTGTTAGTTTTGTTAATAATAGTAATTATTATTATTATAATAATAATAATATTATTATTATTATTAATGTTATAATATAATGTATGTATTTTGCTATTATTATTATTATTATTATTATTATTATTGGTAATAATAAGCATTTATTATGTATTATTGTCAATACTGATATCACCATCTTTGTGCTAGTACCCGATATCTGTATGTTCAGCTTTGTTTTAGGGCTGATTTTAGATTTATCCTGCCAAAATGTCACATAAAATTGTGGTTTTCACTTGATATGCTCAGATGGTCCTTTTTCTGTCTAAGTAGACGGTTCTTGGCAATAAGCTGCAATGTGGACCAAAATCAATACTGATAGATTAAAGTCTCGTCTACTTCTACTACGTCCTGTTTTTGATCCTTTATTTTCTATCTTTCCTTCTTCACTTCCTTCTTTGTACTTTTACACTATCTCAAGGCTTTGGCACATTAGTCATCTAGGCCTGCTGAAACAGTCTCCTCATATAATGCACTCACAAACATTGACTTTTTTCACCTTTCACGTCGAGGCAGGCCCTCGTTTGGACTTTTTCATCACTGTCCACGACGGTGTAGCTGCCCTCATCAGCTCCGGTAACCAAACCTAGGCTGACCCTCTTCTCGCCCACAGTGAGGCGGTGCTTGTACGCTTGCGTGGGGATGCCGGTCTGGTTGAGAAGCAGCACAGGCGGTTCCTCTGTGGTCTGGTAGACTGGAGTTTGAGCTTCAGGCCTGAACTTAAGGGTGTACGGACCAATCGAAGGGTTGATCGGGATATGATACGTGTCTCCATATTTCACCACAGTCTCTAGTGCACAGTCTAGAAGAAAAACCGATTTTGAAATGCATTAACACACCTATGAGGATGCTGACTGTGCTGCTTTTTTTCAACTACACACTTGGAAACAAAAGTATGAATAATTCTGTGTAATATTTTAATTGTGATTCAGTGTCTAAATACAAAAATATCAAAATTAATGGTCTCATCTTCTCAGAAGCAGTTAATCCTAACAGCGAAAGTTATATATAAAATCATTCTCAGAATTCATTCTAAAATGCTGATTTGTTGCTCAGTTATTATAACCAATTATTACGGTATTAGTAACTCATTTATTAAAAATAATTCTTATTATTATCAATGTTGATGTAAAAGTTTTTGCTGCTTAATATTTTTGTGGTACTTGGTACTTTTTTTGAGGATTCTTTGATGCATCTATTACATTTATTTGATATAGAAATCTTTTGTAATATTAGAAATGTCTTTACTGTCGCTTTTGATCAAATTATTGTGTCCTTGTTGAATTTTTTACTTAATTATTCCAAACTTTTGATAGTAGTGTATGTATATTCATAACATGTACTAGGGCTGGACAATAATTCAATATCAGTATGTATCGCAATATAATTTATTTCAATAACGGTGATATAATTTTTAAACACATTTCCGATATTTCGATATACATTAGTGTTTGCCATACATTGATTTATTTGTGGCGTTTGACTTTGTTGAATAAACATGAGCACTGCACATTTCAAAATCAAAACACCGCGTGGGTGTTTTATATGAATGTATCTCTGAAGGGAACCGACTGTCTTCAGAAAAGTTTCGATGGCATTTTCATTTTATCTGATAAAGTAGCGTTCATGAGCTGAGCTGATTTGATTGCAGCCGTTACTGGAGAAACCGCTAGTTCTACCGCTCTCAAAGCGCCTCCTGCTGGCAGAGAATGAGTTTGCATTTTCAATAAGCCCGTCTCCAGCAGCTTGTTTTTGTTGTTGCTCTTTTTTTGTTGTTGTTGTTGTTTTCTGCAGAAACTCAGAGCCCTTTTCATACTCTTTATACTGGCTAAAGCACATTTGTTTCAATCTATATGAATAATCGGCCTATACTACCAGTCAAAATTTTTTAAACAGTAAGATTTTTTTTTTTTTAAGAACTCTCTTCTGCTCACCAAGCCTGCATTTATTTGATCCAAAGTACAGCAAAAACAGTAAAATGTTGAAATATTTTTACTATTTAAAATTGCTTTCTATTTGAATAGATTTTAAAATGTAATTTATTCCTGTGATCAAAGCTGAATTTTCAGCATCATTACTCCAGTCTTCAGTGTCACATGATCCAGAAATCATTCTAATATGCTGATTTGCTGATTATCAATATTTAAAACAGTTGAGTACTTTTTTTTCCAGGTTTCTTTGATGAATAGAAGGATCCAAAGATCAGCATTTATCTGAAATAAAAAGCTTTTGTAACATTATACACTATACCATTCAAAAGCTTAGAGTCAGTAGGATTTCACTTTTTTTTTTTAAAGAAATTATAGAAATGAATACTTTTATTTAGCAAGGATGCTTTAAATTGATCAAAAGTGATGATAAAGACATTTATAATGTTACAAAAGATTTCTATTTCAGATAAATGCTGTTCTTCTGAACTTTCTATTCATCAAAGAAACCTGAAAAAAATTTAACTCAGCTGTTTTCAACATCATAATAATAATAAATGTTTTTTTGAGCAGCAAAACAGAGTATCAGAATGATTTCTGAAGGATCATGTGACTGGAGTAATGATGCTAAAAATATAGCTTTGAAATATAAAACTGAAAGAAAAATATATATATTTGAAATTTTACTGTTTTTGCTGTATTTTGGATCAAATAAATGCAGGCTTGGTGAGCAGAAGAGAATTCTTTAAAAACATAAAAAATCTTACTGTTCAAAAACTTTTGACTGGTAGTGTATGTTAACCTATAGTTTGATGTTAAAGATATGAATATTAATTAGGTGAGTCTGAGACCATTATTTGACAGTGATTTCACATTTCTTGTTTGTATGAAGGCTAAATACAAATTAGAGATGAACATTAATTTATTTGTTCTGGGGATTTTTTTTCTAAAATATTATATGGTTTTATATGAGGTGTCATAGACTTGGCAAATTTGTATGCACAAACTTATGTGGGCGTTCTTGGCAGTTTTTACGAGGCTTTTTTAAATAGTGTTCATAACGATATCGGAATTATATCGTATTGACCGAAATTAAGAAATATATCGTGATATACATTTTGGCCATATCGTCCAGCCCTAACATGTAGTGACCATATAGAATAAGCTTTTCATCATTTAAAAAAAGTATTTTGCTGAATGAATTCTATCCTGTCATTAATCTATCATGAGATAATCAACTGAGCAAGTAGTTATATCTAGCGTAGCGTTAGTTCTGGCAGGTCACGTAAGTCAAGCTCGCATCAGCTGACTCTCAGTTGATCCCCATCAACCTATGGGAATACGACACCTATCTAAGCATTGCTCAATAGCTAATTACCCTCCTCCATCCCCAACTCCTCCTCTGTCAGTCAGGATTCAGCCTTCTGATTCTCCTTTGAATCAGACTAATTCTAAAATGTGTACATAACATTATTGAACTTTAACGATATCTGCAATACATTTATGTTGGTTCTGTTCTGTTTACCCTGGGGGGTTAATCGCTGCTCTCCCTGCTCTCATCCAGGCTAGGCTGCATGGATGCGCAGGGAGTTCTTGCTCAGAACAGAACCATACCGCCAATCCAAACTGTATGCTAATTGTCAATCATCTTTGACGATTGTGGTCCTGACAGAAATGGTGGTATTGTAACTTGTACCTCGAACAATGAGAATGATTCGTCTGACATCAGCCAGGGCCGCAGAATTCTTCACCACATACGTGCCCTCATCCTCCTCGCCCACATCCTCCAGGATCAAATGGCTGATGTGAACGTTCAGTTTGGATCTTGAATCCAGAATTTTCCCGTCCCGCAGGAGAACCCGCCCTAACAACGCATCCACTCTCGGCTTGAACAACACCTCTGTTGTGTCTAAAGCCGGCACGGGAATATGAACATCCTCTCCAAATAAAACAGTGCGGTGTTCATCTTTAGCTGCAGAGTGAGGAGAAAGAAGTCACTTATTGACAACAGAAACTTGAAAAACATCCACTAAATATACAGTATATATATATATATATGTATATATAAAGTTAGAGAAGCTGTTCTTAGTTTGTTTTTGTTTTTTTTGCAGCAAGGCCATTTTTGGTTTCTCAAAGAACATTTCAGCAAACAACTCTAGAAACAAACTTTTTGTGTGTGTTTGAAGAACATTTAAAAAAATCCAAGGAATATTCTTCTATTATAAAGAAGCTTTTGTGGAATTGAAAGGTTCCATGGATGTTAAAGGCTCTTATTGGAACCACAGTTGCCAATACAGATCCTTCATTTTTTTTTATATTTATATAAAAATTATTATAATAATTTAAGAAGCATTACCTTTAATGGTTGATGACAAAACTGTAAAAAACAATGAAAAGGGTAAATGCAAGTATAATAGAGGCAAACAAATCCTTTCTAATCCAAATATATGTGTTGTCTTCATTTACAGCTACAATGTCTAGTGTAGAAATACACTAACATTAAGTAAAACAACACAAATCCCTGAGTGACTCTTGTATTGAAATTATCTCCCTCTTGAATTCACTGTGACTGACAAAATGCTATCAGTGGAAATGCTTATTTTTTTCATGTTTTCCAATCAGTGATATAGCATTGGTTTAATTCACATGCTATTAAACAATCTATACTGTTCAGAATGCCACTGGCAATATGAGATTTTGCTCAAGTGACAGATCACATTTCTATTAGATCAAATTTAGCTTATCTATATGACAGCTGCAAAATAGCAACAGATCTGCCCATATAGGTCTAAACAATTGGGAATCAGCAGCTATGAAGGAGCATAACAAGGAGACAAGTCTCTCTCTCTTCATTTCTATGTATGTTTGTGTGTGTGTGCGCGTAGAGCTTTTAACTCAATAGAACTCTTAACTCACAAGACAAACACAAAGGAGCATGTCCTGCTTTTAAAAGCACCAATGGTCTGAATATACAGGCTCTAAATATATGCCTTTTTGCTGACAACAAAAACACACCTAACAGTTAATAGTGAATGAGTTTTACCGGGGGAAGAGTGTGCAAGTTTTCCTTCTCTGCAACACTAACAATATGAAAGGACTATTAGGAATGCTGCCATGTCAAACTGCCAACTATGCACTTTCAGTCTAACATCTTATGATAAATGATGCTGCAAATGTTGCCCTTGTGAAACAAAGCAATTTAGAAAACTATGCAAATGAAAAGCTATTTGTTGTACCAACATTATAGAAATGTGTTTTTCAAACAGTTACCTGAGCACAGGAGTGTGCTAATGACTGCCACACACGCAATGCCCATTTTAGCTGGATATCTGTGTAAAAAAAAATGCAGGTGTGAGCACTGAAACACAACATGAACAATCAATACTCCTATCTGAGAAGATATATGAAGAAATAACACTTACCTCTGATACCTAATGTGGCACATAAAATACACCATTTTTAATCAATTCAATAAATATGTTCATTGAATTGGAATGTTGGTCAGCAGTTAAAACGAACCCAAAATTTATGAATTCACACAAGATGACAAGAGTGAAGAGACTTAAAAGATTCTTGTCATAGCCAAATAGCACTAGTTATCTAACCGAAAGCATAATCCTGAATCATTAATGCCCACTGAATCCTCCCATGTAAATCAAAAGAGACTAAATATTGCTTTTAGGTCAAACTGTACAGCAGCCTGAAAGTCTGATCTACAGTATCTCTTTAAAGGGGTCATATGATGCTGCTAAAAAAAGAACATTATTTGGTGTATTTGGTGTAATGAAATGTGTTTATGCGGTTTAAGGTTAAAAAACACATTATTTTCCACATACTGTACATTATTGTTTCTCCTCTATGCCCCGCCTTTTTGAAACACTAAGCCCCTTACCATATTGTGATGCCGTGTCCCGGAGTGACGAGACAAAACCAATACAACCCATTACAAACGAGGCATTTGTTGCATCCAGTGGGGACATAATTACAGATTATAATGACTTATACTGTCTTTTAATGCATTGCGTTGCATCGTGCCGCGTAAACATAAAACCATGTCTGTATTTGTGATCGGAGAAACGACAAACATCAAGCTCTACTCTACACTGCTCAAAACTCGCGTTTGAAACTGTTCTGGAACAGTGTTGTAAATACAACTTAACCACTTATTTCTAGTCGTGTCCTCTTTTGGAAGACAAAACAAAGTAGTTTCGCTCTCACAACGAAACACACAGCGTTTCCAAGACATGGCGGCGGCTGCAACAACAATACACTACAGCGAGAATAAAAGGCCTTTTTTCTTTGCGTGAACATTTGGGTGATGTTATGCAAATCTTCCCACACAGTGATGTAGACATATGGGGGCGTGTTTAAACGAGGCGTTTTAGGAGGGCGTGGACGAGTCTTAACTTTTATAAAGAATATCTCTTTGGGTTTGAGACTTTAGTCTTTGCAACTTTAGGGATCTTATCTATTCACGAACAGTTTGAAACACTCCAAAGAGAAAGGAAAATTGAAATCGCATCATATGACCCCTTTAAGGTCTGACAAAGGGAGGTGATTGGTTGTCTGTAATGGACACTAACCAACCATAATGCCATGACATCCAGTTTCTGGCAGGATAGCTTGCCCAGACCAGACTGAAAGTGCCTATTTCTGCCAAAACCCCAAGAAACTCAGAGCTCAAATCTGTCTCTCTTCTCCCTCCCTTAGAAGGCTTAAGGTTTACCTTTCATAGACATCTCAACTGATAGGTTGAGGCCAATATTTTTCAGTAATTGAATAGAAAAAAAAGTGTTCACAATACTGTTATTTGAGCAAGTCACTAGCAAGATTATTTTTCACTAACTCGCTTACTGTGGCAAAATGATTCGAGAGAGAAAGAGACAGAAAAAACCTGCATTGTTCTAGTCTTTTGCCAAAGTAACGTTAGCCTTGTATGGAAGCCCGTTTCCGCCACTGAATAAAAAAAATAAAAGAGGTAATTGCGACATTTTATCTCACAATTCTGACTTTTTTTCTCAGAATTGAGTGATATAAACTCGCAATTGCGAGTTAAAAAGTCACAAGTGAGAGATATAAACTCGCAATTCTGAGAAATAAAGTCGCAATTCTGAGAAATAAAGTCAGAACTGCGAGATATAAACTCACAATTCTGACTTTTTTTCGCTAATGCGAGTTTATATCTCGCAATTCTGACTTTACGAGTTTTTAAGTGGTGACGTAAGAAGCGCTGTTTCCGGGTCCAAGCCTCAACTCGCTTCACTTGAGAATAGGGGTTATGCGCAACAGACTTCAGTATTCTGTTAACCGGGTCTCGTCACTTCCGGTTCAAGTGTTTTGCATAAGTTTAGTTAAACATGAAGCCGTTTTACTCAAGATGCCTTCAAAGTAGATACCAATGATGATCATAACCAATGTCCATCACATATGCAGACTGATATCTAAAAGTTTTTTTTTTTAAATTCTTTTCACATTTAGATGTAAAAATTGAATCGTCAACAATAAAAACAGCTAGCTAGTTTAACTGATTATCTTCCATAGATAGTCCATCGATATCGCTATTATTTAATACGGCTGTTAACACGTTCTCCGACCAGCGGAAGCAATGAGACCTGGGCTGCGTTCAAAAACGGTGCAAAACGTTTTTTAAACGGAAACGGTGGTGCGTTGAACCCAATGTTCTGATGACACAAGAGTTGCAACTATGGCAGCTGAGAAGGCCATTCTTTTTGTTCTTTTTGAACAAATTTTGGAGCCTGATGAAATCGCTATAAATACATGTTTAATACTGCAAAATACGCTCGATGTTACAGTCACTGCCCTCGCCGTCCAGAATAAAAGAGAACATCCCAATCGAGTGAAGGGATTTGTGGAAACTGTGGTTCCTAATTATTGTGATCCAACATTTGCCTCGCATTTCAGGATGAAAAGACAAAATTTCAGGTGAAGGATAATCCACTTCTTACCTCCAAGATCTATATGACCTTATTATTTTTATTGTGAGTATTAGGCCTATCATTATTGCTGATCACTGTTGTTATGCTATG